GCTTTGTGAGATTCATCCAATAACTTTCGTGAGATACTCCTGGCAGAGAAGCTGAAAATAAATGATGGTTGAAATAGCACAACACAGTAAAAAGAATATTGGGTCGCTCGCAGTCGAGATCAAGGAAGAACTCCTTGAAGAAAAAACAGTTGATTAATGATTCGAATCATTTTTATTTTATTTTTATTTCTCAAATATTTTCAATAATAATTAATATTATAATAATTAATTAATTAATGCTTGTAACATAACAAATATTCTTCTCATATCATTGCAATCTCATTGCTGCGCTCAATTGAATATTTCGATGCCAACGCTGCAGCCTGCAGATTTGCTAATTTACTGCCACATGCCGTCAGTGTACTCTTTACTTCTAAGTATCTTCAGCTTATCAAGTTTAATGCAGTTTGTATCTCGCATTTCCCTTTGTGCCGTCAATTTCAATTGCAATATGAAAATTTACCTTTAAGTTTTAAAAAATTAATTAAGAGTCCCGTAGCTGCGTTGGATGTTAATTCATTTTGTTTGACGTTTGATGCGCAGGTTTTGTTTTTATGTTGCTTGTCTTCGCAATCGCAATACATTTAAATTTATCAATACACTTTTGTTTAGCTTTTTTTTCTTTTTATATACATTACACATAAGAGATTTGTAGTAAAATTGGTGAGAAAAATCTTGCATTACATCGCCGTTTAGTTTTCTTTTTTCAATTAGAGAGTATGTGATTATTTTGTCATATTACCTTTAAGTTGAACAATTAGAGAGCACAAAAGTTTTAAAGTGTTCTTGCTTGGTGTATACTTAAAGTTTGATTCAAGAAATGTTTGATTGTTTCGCGTGTGCCTATTCGCAGTTGGGTTAGTAAAGAGTTTAAGAGTCAAGAGTCATGGCAGATTGCAAGGCTTTATCAGTTGCAACGATTCACAGGAGCTGATGCCAGGTATTGAAAATTCCTTTTGAAGACCGGGTACCAATAAAACAAATATTCAGCTAGCCATTGCCAGGCTCCTTCTTTACTTTAGTCATACCATCGTAAGGTTTTAATTGTTAATATTTAAAACTTGGACCCTATTTAAATTTTGCAATAATGCCTGACCTATGATAAAATCGCACCAGATATTCACAAGTGTTAAGCAGACCAAGGAAATCAAACACTTAATAAAAGCAAGCGTTAAAGGAAAGTGGCAATGAGTACAATCGAATTAAAATTGTAAATGTTTTATATGTATTCGTATTAAATTCACTGTTGCAAGTTCACTATTAGTTTTTTTTCAACATTAATCGTTTTCACTAAAAAGTAGGAACTTCTGCCTGTTGTCAACTTTTATGCTGTACTGTGTGTCTCAAAAACGCAATTCAAATGCTTTGAAAAAAAGTCGGTTTAAAAGCATTATGTAAAACACATACAGATTTTGCTAACTATAAGTAAAGGTAATGTATCGCATATAAGTTTAAAAACGTTTTTTTTTGCGCTTTGCTTCGCTGAAAACCATTTACGATTTCCACCTTTTTACTGAAGCTGAGCGCGAAAACTTAAGCAACTCAGTTTCAAAAACATTTCACATAAACTGATGAACTGGACAAATTAGTATATGTATCTCAACTTGATTATATTTTATCGCCTGTCTCTTAAAAAACATCGAACAAATTCCCTATGCTTCCATCTATGACTTCTGCAGTTCGTTTCTTCTTAAATACGATTTTGTTTAGACTTTTTCCGAACTAACAATTTCTAGCATGCGATGCACTAAATTTATGCGTAATATTCGCTTCCGGTCGGGATTGTTTCCCACCATTTTTTATTTTTGCTATAACAACCCTGTGCTTGTGTGTGTAATAGGACTATACTGAACAAAAAGGGTCTCAATAAAGGCAAAACTTAGGTATATTAGTGGGTTATCTGGAGAAATAGTTGGGAGTCTAAATAAACTTCTCATGTGTCAAGGAATGCTGATATGTTTCTGTTCATGTTGTATATGTTGCACAAGTGGTTTCGTAACTCAAAACTTTCTGTTTTCATCTCTATTTGGATTTGATTGTATTTCGTGTTTAGTTTTAACTCTCTGACTGCATTCCATGTTGACTCAATCGCTATTTCTCTAATAATTTGCTGCGTTTCCATCGACACATTAATGTATAGTTATAGCTACAATTAAATATAGTACATACACATATATATCTGGTTTTCTTCTAACTGTAAAAGTAGCACATAAGTAAGCCTTCGTCGATTATGCCGCCTCTTGGCAACATGGCTCACAACATTTGATCATGTGTTTCTCTTGTATATTGAATTCACGAATAGTCCTCGATTTGTTATATTTTATTTTGAATTTTGGTAAAATCTCTTCTTGCAACTAGTAATGTACAACATAAAACTGTTGGCTCCCGTAAGACCTCATCTCTAAGTTATGCAATTCTGGTATTTGATTACTTCTTCACGCGCTTTGGCCAAAAAAAATCACTGAGTCCGACAGTTTGACTTGGCCCAATGCAACGTATGGGATGCTTCTTCGAATCCCCTTTTTTAGGCAGGTTCTCAATATGGGATTACGATAATCGTAAGTTGTTTCTCTACTTGGTAAAGTAATACTTTTTAGTGTACTGTTTGTCAACTAGCTGCATTGTCTGCATCTGACTCTTCGCCGTCACTTTACTATTACTGTTATCTGAATTTAATGTATATTCGTAATAGGTATTTGTATTTTGTATTCGGTATTAGTTCTATTCATTTGTATGCTGCTCGGTGTCGTGTTCACTATCAACATTTACACGCAGTAGCGCCATTGTATCTATATTATCGTTGGGCTAAATATTTGATTACTCTTTAAACGCTGCATACCAACGGACAGCAAGGACACCGTCCTGATCCTCGTCGTTATCCTTTTTCGATTGATTAGTTGGTTGGTGTGTGAGGGTGTGCAATTGCTTTCGTTTAACATAGTCTGTGGTTGCTTCTGTTGTAGAGTTAAGTTCGCTAAATACTTTTATGAAATTTTGATTTGTCAAGAGTTCTCGTTTGAAATTCTAGCAGTCGTGGGTATGATATAGACGTATATCATATCGCTTTACCTTGTTCAATGCGCTAACAAAACGTGTATATAGTGTATATATAAGTAGTAGACATAGACATAAAGCATATGTTAGTATGATAAATAGGTTTAGGGTTAAGGTTAGTTAGATAGCTAGTTGCAGTATGTATATGAAACGCTAGAGTTGGCTCAAAAACGTTTGGTAAGCTTTCTGTGTTACATGAAAATTTAGGCATTGTAAACTATTTCTCGAGAGGTCATTGAAACACAATCACCTGGGCGTGCTTCCTTTGCCACATTCGATTACATTTCTGTACTGCCTGCTTGATTGTGTGATAACTGTAAATATAGTACTTTAATCAATTTTACATTTTACAATATTTTACTGTTGCTTTTCGTACACGTTTTTCGTTTAAATATATTCATTTGTTTTGTTTCCCATTCTTGTGGATTTTGTTTTGTGATTTGCTTGATTTCTCTGTGTTTTGTTTTAATTTTAAATTACGATCACTGCTACTCATGCTTACGAACTAAATCCATATCATGTAAGTTACATTTAGTTGATTTTTTAACCGTTTTGTGTGTTTTGTTTTTTAGTGGTTTTTCTCTTTTTGTTTGTTCTTTGCTCCAACGTATAAATAATTTCACTTTCTAAATATATATAAACTTTCATATTTGTCTGTACTTGTTTGCTTGTGTGTGTGACCGTGTATGTGTCTCATGTTTGTGTGGGGTTCTTGTAAAATTATCAAAAAATCATTCAGTTTTGTTGCTAAAACACGTATATGTCTTTCGTTACCAGTATGTCTATAATTAAATATAATTACCTTCTGTTTTGATTTCTTTTTTAGATTATACTTTTGTAGCTTAAAATTTGTTTAATTTCCTGTTTCATGGTTTGTGGTAGTTTAATACATACTTAATCATATGTTTTTTGATCGTTTTATGTATAATTTGCGCTAGCTTAACAACATTTACATATACAAACACACATAGGGTTTACGTACGCGTTGATTTAACTGCCTTTAAAATTATTATTCTCCCGTATTTCTAAACAAACGGACGTGCCAAGGATGTATCTTCGCAATGTCCAAGTTCTCGATTTATTTAAGTTTATTAAATTTAATACATTCTTCTTAAGTTCCAGTTAACGTTACTTCACATCGCCTTCTTCACTTCAATGCGCTTAGGACTCGGTGTGCTATTCGGGACCATCTCTTTAAATACTTCCTTTCTCTTTAAGTCTAGCAAATGAAAATATTTACGAGCTACGTTAATGCGATGGTTTCAATTAAAGTTGCATACTTGTAAAAAATTAAAGTTAAGTTGCATTCATTTAAAATATAATAACAGCATCATGTACATAATAAAACTTTGCCTTAATTCATTTTTAACGTAATTTCTCTCTTCATTTTGTTCTTGACTTTCTGTCGTTTTTTAAAACCAAAACACAGTACAGTGCAATACAAATATCTCTAAGTTACGATCATCCTTTCATTACTTTAAATATGCTTTGCTATTTTCTACTCTTTATATATTTTTTTTGTTTTTGTTATGCAATGCAATTTTCTTAAGAACTAATAATAGTTTTAAAGTTAAGCTTACATTACGATGTTGCTGATTGTTTAGTGGGTTGTTTGTTTGTTTGTGGTTTGCTGTTTTCTTGTCTGCATGCGGCTTAAGTTGAAATGCCCTTTCCGCTTTAATTTTTAAGTTATATTTATTTTCAGTTGATTTTTGTTTATCAATTTAGTAAGATTCCTCGTTTTTTGTCCTGTTCCACCCCGCAGGGTGGTGTATAAAACAGGAACAGTTCCTAGAGTTTGTTGCTCTAAATAAAATTGGTATAGCTCATGCATCGATTGTTGGCGCTGGTTTATCTGTTGGATTGGGTGGGGATGTGCTTCTGGCGTTTGCCTTCTCAGTAGAAGTTTGCGTGCAATCTTCTTGTACTACGGATTATAGTTTGTATTTGTTGCTGCCAATAGACCTGTAGGTGTTGCTGCTGGTGCATCTGCATGTAGCTGTAGCCGCCGGAGGCACCCAGTCAGGTTCAGTAAACCTGACTTCGGATCGGATTCTAGATGTTCGACTTGGAGAAGCTCACGCGCAGATGGTTCGACTCGGACAGCTGGTGGTTGTGCATCTTGATCAGCGCCAATACGGCCTCCTCCACGGACGACAGCTGCAGCAGCGCCATTTTGCGGTCCTTCCTGTAAGACAAAATTGGGAAATATTTTAGTAAAGGTCCGTTCCAAAGCTTTAGCATCACATAGATGCACCCATTACTTACGGGAAAAATTTGAATGCTTTGACTTCGAAGCTGTTTGAGGTGAAGGCTTCTTTGATGTCATCCTCAGAGCAGGACGAGCTGAAGGACGAGAAAGAAGGCGTTATTGGTTAGGTTTAAAATTAGTGTCATCGATTCATGGGATCGTGGGTGTGCCCGCTGAGCGTCTGGTTTATTGATACCGCCTGGTAGGTGTTCCTGGGGGCCTTTGAATGAGGGGCTATAGGCCCGCCTCATAACACCGTCCTCCACCCGTCATGCCAGACGCCATCCCAACCAGCGGGGTGCCCGTCATATTTGGCAGACGAGGCTGCCACGCGGGGTGCCTGCTGCTCATAGCGGTAATTGTAATTGCCTTGTCGTGCCGAATCGAGCCATCCCCCAGCTTTTACACCCACGCTCCCACCCGGGCCCCTTTATACGGAGCTGGTAAAAGTTTGTGCCTTGGCGAATACTTACGGAATGTTACTTAAATGCAGTGTCGCCGACGGCGGATAGATGTTCTGGTAGTTCTTGCTGCCCGGCTTCTTGAAGCGGTGCAGCGGGTTCTGCGAGTAGTCACGTGTGAGTCCGGCGTCCGGCTGGCCCTCCTTGGGCAGCTGCACGGCCTGGTGTTTGCTGGCCATCACACGTATCGGCTTGCCCCATAAACGTAATTTATCAAGGTGAGACATGGCTGTGGAGCAAAAAGTAACACGTTAAAATGGGTGCACGTGGGAAAAGTTTTTCGTTTGTTAGATGAGTCTGTGCATGGGGATGGGTATGTGGATGGTACTGTGTGTCAATAAATGTATCTGTGGAAATGCAATTTATATGCCGAGCCACGGGCCATAAAATGGTTTTTGGCCCTGCACCCCGCGAAGACTCACGGATAAAAAGCGTTCCATAATAACACAAATTTCTATTGATAATAATACTCTAAGAGGCATATGACGAAATAATACTATTTAATTATCACTACTTAACTACTTAACTACTTCCCCTAACTTTATGGTTATAATTCTATAACATATTCCCCCAATCTTTATCTTTTTCTCTCAGTGCACGGAAAGATCCAATCCGCCAGCAGTCGAAGTCGAACAAAGTCAGCAATAAGTGCAGGCAAATATTTACATACTGAAATGTAACTGCAACTTTATCAACGTCGTCTGTCGTTGGTGATTTATACAAGCTGAAATGCTTGTTTAGCCGTAAAAGTATTACCAAACAAAAGTTCGCCATCTTCGGGCTCTGTTCTGGCGCCTCCCTCTCTTATAGATTCCAACGGACTATGCCCTGTTTCCTATATTCTCGGCAGTCATAACACCTGCGTCTCAGTCGAAATGCATGTGCAACGGAGAACCGCTCTTAAGTACAATTCAATTTCCATTCCCATTTCCAATTCATTTCGATTACGTTTTATTTAATTTCAGTTTCTGCCAAGTCACCCGACGGCTTAGCCCAGGGCCACTGTCCAGGGAAAGTCATGTTGTGCATTACATTTATAAATTACATCACATTTTATCACTGCTCCTCTGTTTTATTGTAAAGCAATATGCTTACTCAGCCGTTTATTGTTTGCCTAATGGATTAAGTGATTTTCAAAAACCAAAGGCGCAGGAATATAATAAATTGTAAAATAAAATAACCGCCAGCAGTGACAAAGCCGTCACTGCTCATATGGCCTAAACATCCTTTTTTCTTTACTCGTCGTTGAGTATGACAAACACTTGTAATAAAGATTAATGTGCAGGCGAGACACTTTCGGAAAAAGGGCAGGGACGAGCCCAAACTTTGCCTGAAGGGCTGCAGCTGCTACTTGGCCCCGTCTCAAAATCTTAAACTTTTAATTACGAAGCTAAGACTTGGCTGCTGACCAACATCAGCGGCGACAACAAATTATTATTAACTAACAAAGACAACCAGCAAGGTTTCGGAAATGGGGAACCCAAAAAGTAAGTGAAATGACTCGCCGATGAGGCTTTAAGATTCCGCCCTTGTTTTATGCATGAAGTTCTGGGTCTAAGACTTTTAAGCAGCATACACTTGGGACCAACCCCACTCACAAAATAATACTCCGGAAGCGGGAGGACCAGGGGATGGGGCAAATGTGGCTCAGGTGAGCCCGCAATCGGAGCCAAGCATGGGTTCACTACCCCCACCTGATAAACTCCAAGTTAGTTGTAACTTTCATGATTTGAACGATTAATGTCCAGCAATTCCTTGACTATGATCTACGGCCGCACAGGCCAGACACTTTATTATCTCTGGCTCGTAAACTATGCAAAACATTCACTGTCCCGGCGTTTTCTCCGCCTTGTAATTAATAGTGGACCCCAGAAGGCCGGGCGCCAAGTCATTCAAACAGTCACTTAGCATTGTCAACCTAAGGCGGAGAAAAGTTTCCCGAACTAGACTCCTATATTTCGTAGCACACGCACACATGGCGTATGCGTAATCGACCATAATACAAATGGCAATAGAATTCGGCCAGCACATGGGAGAGTGTGTAAGAGTCTGTTTGTTTATATTGCAAATGACTTTATGCGTACGCTTATGCAAAATATTTTGTAGTAATTTGTACGGCAAGCAGGAAATTTATTTGCGAACAAAAGAGGGGAAGTCCCCGGTCGACAGCTGAGAGTGCCCCAATAAATTCAGTTGTATCTGCGTGTGTGCTGCCCATAGTTGGCAATATGTTGCGCAAACTTTATCCCGCCCACTCCCACCGCCCCTGTCCAGTTGCCACCCAACAAATACTCCATTACAGAATCCCTGGCAGCCAAACACCTCAAACTGCCCACCAAGTGGACGGAGCAGAGGGGAGTGGGCAGCTTATTGTTTTCCATTGTGTGTTTTTGTCTATTCCTAGCTCCCCACCCCGTGCCTTCTGATTGCTGTCGCAGTTAGTTGGGCCGAGAGGTTGGGTGTACGTTCCATTTTGATTCTCATCGCCTTTCCCCCCGCATTTTCCTTCATTTCCCGTTGGCTTCACTTGCAAAAGTTTTTTGCGCCTTTACGCTGTAATTCGTATGCTGAGTGTGCAATTGTAGCCGTATTTTGTGGGCGGCCCCCGCCATAACGCACACCACCTTACGAGACACTTTCGTATGCATGGGCTATGGGGTATGGGGTGAGTTGGGTGACCCTGGGCAGCTGCTGCCCCTGCTCCTGCTGCTCCATGTTCGGTAATCGTCTTTGTTTGTTGGCGTGAGTTTCGGGCAAAGTAACGAATGAATTTGTTAATATTTTATGAGTGCATAAGTGCGCACTCCCGCCCCGGACTCTGCTTCCATTTTAGACTTGCTCTGGTGTCCAGGTAGGTGGATACACTCGAGAAAATGGTGGAATTCATATCGAAAGACTGAAAATATCAAATATGAAATGCCTAACTATCTGGAATTTTGAGTAAGCAGTGGTCAAGCTGTGAAGGTAAAAACAAAATTGCTGCCTTCTTTTCCGTGACTCTAATTGTATGTAGTACCCCTTTTTTAATGGGAAATGAATGAGAAAGTTTTTCATGGTGTAGATAGGTTGAATCGTAGGAAAAGGCTGGAAGCGGACGTGTTTGCCATTTGGCAGCCCTTGCGGCACATTAGTAGTCTATATGCTGCTGCACACCCATTAATATTTTCACATGCCCGGGGCCGTTGGCTCGCATTTCTGTGCTTGACTGGGGGAATGTGGTGGGAAAGGAGTGCGGAAGGGATGTCGACTTCCTAGTTTGGCACAATAATTTGCTTGTTTGGTTAAACAGTTGACTGGCTTTGGTTTTGTCGGTTCATTTGCGTGAAATCTGCACAATAGTTTTATCAACTGCAGCCGACGGCGGCATTTTGTGGTCCTCGAAATGCTGTCAATTTTTGGACGAATTCAATTAACACACCATTACGTATACGCCACCGAAACGAAACGAATTCGGACAGCAGCTGACGCTGCTGCTGCTTCCGGCAAATGCGCACAAAGGAAAATTACCCGAAATTAAGCCATGCATTTTCAAGAGTTCCTACTGATTAGCTCTACTTTTCCCCTCCTCTCCTCACCCCTCCGCATCCACACCCTCCGCTGGTTTAACCCAATTAATTAAGTAGGGAAATCTCAAAGCGGGAATGCTATTGAGCAGCGAGCAGAAGAATGCAAGGCGCACCGCAGGACGAAGCGGCACGAATTCTGGAAATGTGCATGTTTACATAATTATAATTAAAAATTTAATTGAGTACAGCACAAAGCATATTTTCAACGAAGGGGAAAGCGGGCCACGCAGTTGGTGACAAGCAGGCGAAAATAGTTTGCGGTGGAGCAGTGGAGCGGCGGATGTGCGGATGCGACTGCAGATATTTGGTCTGCGGGTTCGCGTATACCCCACGGACATTTCGCATTTGTGCGCCTGTGTGTCTGCCGGGCCGCCAATCACTTATTTTCTTTTTATTTAAATCAATAAACAGTTGATGGCATTCATTATGCAGTAGCTTACGCTTTCCCAGACGCGCAATTTGCTGGCAATTTCCGCATCGATCGCATATTGCACTTATTGAGCAGATTAAATTTATTTAAACTTTATTAACAACAGCAGCAGTCGCTGACTGTGCGAATGACATGGAATCGTGACGAAAAATATAATTGATAAATTACATGTGCGAACGATTAACGCCTTGATGGCATTCAATGTGGTTTTCATCTTCATATGCTTTTAACGTACATAAGCAGCAGCTAATAACATATGCTTTTTATGCAGGAAGTTCAGGGTGAATGGGCAATAATAAATGTAGAAATTGTGACACAAAGGTAACAACTAGGACCACACAATATATGAGTGTGAACACGAACTATATGAATAATTTTACTCACAAAGCCTTTGAGCAAGGCTTAAAATGTGGACGAATTTTCATATGCCCGGCACCCACTGCAGTTTCTTATGAGCTCAAAGGCAAGGACAAATAAGCGGGAACTTTCGCACCACTGTCGTTTTCAATTAAGAGCCTCCCTGCAGGGCCGCAGCACTTTGACAGCTTTTGAGTTATTTTTCCAATGAATAAATAACCCAAACGAAAAACAGCGCCGGACGAACCGCTGAGTGGAAACAATGAGAGCTGACCGAAGGAAAACAGGGCGGTGGATCGGGAGGGGCGCCGTTGGATAGTTGGCGTGTTAAATGGAATAAAACCAAATCGAAATTGAAAAAGGTGTCGCTGTCAGCGCTGTCAACGCTTCGATCGCTTGGCCGCTGCCATTGGCGCCGCTCCTGTTTTTGTAATAAAGTGGAATTTGGCACGTCGGTTGGTTGCTCTTAACGCGTCGCAATGGGCGACAATTTTCATTTCGTTTAATGCGTGCAGGGGGTCGGATTGGATTGGATGAGGATCCGAATGGGGGAGTCCTTGGCCAGCGGCAAAGCGGCAAGGCGGTAGCCTGACAATGGCAAAGTGCACACAAATAAATGCAATAAAATGATTGGCATGTCCCGCCGAGCAGGAGGAGCCTTTGTTGCCTGGGCAACGGGGAGAACTGGATCTCCACCAGGTGTTTCTGCTGTCCAGGCGGGCTGGTAATAAAGCGCTTATAAAATTTCATTTATGTGCACGGCCAGATATCTCTCGCTCTTGGCTCTGTTTCCGTCTCTTTTGCTTTAACAATTTTTATTATTAATACATTTTGCTGCATTTGCAGCTGCACAACCAACAACAACAGAACAACAACATCAACGGTTACGGTTGCCAACGGAATGCGCCGTTTGGAATTTCATGTTGCCGGAATTTTCATTTTAAACAAGCTGCAAATTGCAGTTGCTCTTTTTGGCCCCGTCCCCATCTTACGGATTGAGACTCAGATTTTTCATTACTTTCATTTCGTTGTGTTTCGGTTTTGGTGTGAGTGTGGGTGGGTGTAGGTGTAGGTAGTAGATGGTGTGTGTTCTCATGGGTTAGTGGGTGAAAGTGCATTTGATTGACTTACCCAAATAAGCTTGCTGGGGCTCCGCCATCTGTATGAGCGCCGAGTCCTTCTTGTTGTACAGGATCTTTACACGTTGCACATCGCCATATACACCTGTGAATGAGTAGAGAACAGTTGAGGATTATGAGTATATGGTAGGGAATCTTCTGGGTACACAATTGTCGGCTCAAACTACATGGCACTGTCCGTAAAGTTATACGAGTGTCGCGGCACGAATGCTGAGCTGGCCAACTGAAGCAATGTGTAGCTGTTGGTCGGGGACAACTTATCACTAATGTACAGTGTACACTAAAAAAGCAAAAATGGTACCGCTTTACCAATTATTTTCTAGACCCTGTTTATTAAATTATTTGTTGCTTTAGATAATTCTAATTAGAAACAGGCCATTTTAAGTTTTACGCTATAAATTCAATGATCTTGAGAAGTTTAGTCGCTCGAGCCTAAATTCTAGAAAGTGTTGCTGGTTCCAAATTAGTTGTTTTCCAAGTGTAACTAGTCTTGGCCAACTTATTGGCGTGAGCACTTTAAGCTCGAATCGGCCCAAAGTAGTGAGCTTTTTCCTTGGCTGCTGTTTGAATTTTTGGACGGTTCGAAGCGGTTTATGGGGACCGAGGAAAAGTTTTACACCCCACCAAAAAGCCATAACATGTACACGAGGTATCTTCTGGCACTATTCTTTTCTCTCCCCGCCATTTTAGCCCACAGCCCAAGCACTCGCATTATTGCCGCGGGCCACGCCGTTAGTATCATGTACGAAACTCATAACTGGCTCAATAAGTTTTCTCTGCTATTTTTTACGAGCTTCCATTCGAACTGCGGCTGCAGCTCCTCCCTTGGCCCAGCCGCCTTGGCTTCCGAGGCTGCATTCCGTTTTAAGGCCACGGATTTTACAGCTGTCAGACAAGGTGTGCTGGTGTGCAACTTTTCGGCGGCGGCATCGGCGTCGGCGGACGCGTTATTGAATTGTATTTTATGGCTTTACTTACGCCGCAAACTATGCACTATAAAGCGGACTGAGCCCCAGCTGCAGGACTGCATTAAGACTGGCAGAGGACTTTAAGGAAGCTGCTGGGTTTTCCCCCGGCCAGTGGACTCGGCTCTGACAGCTGCCCGAGGGTCGGTCCATTGGCCCGGGGTGACTTATTTTAGTCCCCGTTCCCGGGCGCCACACGGGACAGCGTGTGCAGCCAATCAGCGCAAATTTGAAGCAGGGCGCAAATTGCCATCAAGCATAAAAAATAGTTGCCGGTCGAGTTGGTGGCCAAAGGGCAACGGCGATGCCAATGGCAAAGGCGACCCCAAAGCAAACAATGTAAAGTGCAGGGCTGCCCAAGACAACAAATCGAATAATGCGGAAAGTAAATTTTCAACTTCTTTCAGCCACACACACCTGCACACAAAATGGGAGGTACACTCTAGGAAAAATTCTTTTCAATATGGAATTGCTCCAGTTGCTAAAATTTTGTTATTTTCTATGTCTAACTGGTTTCATTAATATCAAAAAAGGAATTAACTCTGATGTTATAAGCATCATGAAATAACAATTTTTGGGAATATTTAGTTCCCATAATATATTAATATTTAATACAACTTGAATATGCTCTCTTAATGCAAGTGATATTACTGATTCCATGTGCAATAGTGCAATTTTGATGTAAAATGTACAATATATTTATTTCTGTACACCCCTTCCACGTCCTTCCCGTGCGAAAACTAAGAAAGCAAAGTCGGCTATAAAAGTGAGGCCATGCCGGCTACTCGGAGCGTAGCGAAGCGAGCGCTGCGCTAACAAGTTACAAAAGTAGCAATGGAAATGCAGGTAGTAAATAGTGGGGCCCAAGGAGGAGTTCGCAGGACAGCGCACACAGTTCAACAGTTGGCAGTAAATCCATTTTATACAGACGACTGGCTACCTGAGTGACTGACTGCCTTGGTTCCCAGTTATCCGGCAGACTTGACTTATGCCAAACACCGAGCAATTTCGTTTGGTTTTTGCCAGGAATTCGGGGCAACAATTGCAGGCGAGGCCAGCAGCAGCAGACGTCCACGTCGACATCGACATCCATATCTGCAGGTATTGGAGCACATTGAATGCCAGGCATGCCGCCCTCCTCCAGTCACCAGCATGGCTCGCCGTGCAACGGGGCGTATGAGCAGCATCTGCCGAGCTGCCGGTTGCTATGCAAAGTGCGCCCGGCAGCCTCAATCTTTATTCGTATTCCCAACTCCGACCGACCGACAGACTTGATAATAATTTATTATCGCCTGAATGTTCCTACAGAAGTTTTTCGCTTTTTTGTGGTTTCGCGACACTAACATATGCAGACAGTGAAGCCGATTCCCCGACGGCCCATTAGTCGTGTGTTTGAGCATATTCTTTATGAAGAAATATGCGGCTGGCGGTGGCATATTAGCCAGGGAGTCTATAAAGTTGGAACGGCCTCTAAATCCCCCTGCTTTCCATCTCCATTATCGCCGGTGTCTAAAGCCAAACGGAAATTCGTTTCAAATCGATGGCTTCCATTTAATCACATTCCCTCGAACGCCTGTCACATTGCGTTTTGCTGCTAAAGCGATTTGTTGCGATTATGAAAAATTCATTGAAATTATTTGCACATTGGATTTAATTTTTCCTGTTTCGGGCACTTTATCAAATTGCATTTCTGCCACAACATGTAGCGCGTAAAATTTTATGAAATTATTCCGCACATACGTAGCAACAACAATCAACTCGCACACAAAGAGGGGAAATCACGCAGCAATTCGCCGGATCTCTAAACGCATAAAAATTCAATTAAACACGTTTCGGCAATATTTTCGGCAATGATATAAATTTTTATCACGCCATTACAATTACATAAGCGGATTACACGGCATATGTGCTAGTGTTTGGGAGTTAGGGCTTGCTTCCCAGACGATTCGCAGACTGATTAAGTTTTCTTTTATTGTTATGCAAAGGCAACTCAATCCCAGCCCCCGGAGTAAATGGGTTGGGGTTGGGGGTGGTGGCCCCGGCAGGGTGGTTTCCGTCCGAGTGGGGCATGGGTCGGTATTGAATGCTTGACAGCCTAAGCGGCATGTGTCAAGTGTCTAAAGAGCATGCCCCAGAGAGTCCCTGGGACCTTTCAATTGGGTCTTCGCCTAGTCGCAGGCCGAGCGAACAAAGCGCTGTCAAAACTAATAAAATGTCTGACTGGCTGGCAGCCGAAAGGGTTTTGGGCGAACTTTTCCGGGCTTTTGGCCTTTTTGTTGTGCCGCTTGTTGCTCTTTTTCGGCTAGATCAATCCCCGCGTTTGAAGTGCGTTGTTTGTCCCCGGCTCCAGAATTGAGCTTGCCACTTTTATTATTTGGTATGCAAACAGCGAGCCGCACACCGCACACCGCCCACGGCTCCTCCCCCTGACCCTTTGAAGTGCTAAATTCGCCACCCTAATGTGGGCCACAGCTCCTTTGGCCCACCTCATGTGGAACGTTGTTACGTGTCCTTGCGTGTTGCCATTAACATAACAAAAGCAGCCGTTTGCCATTTGCCGGTTGACGTTTGCCATTCGCTTGCCAGTTGCCAGCTACACTGATCAAAAATCATTGGAAGTTCGTGATAGCAGAGAATAAGCAGTTTAAGCCCTAAAACCAGATCCTCCTTGAAAGATTCATAAATGGCATTTAGTTCAGACACCTTTATCCTATAATAATTTGGATCTGTTTAGGGACTCTTTCTAATCATTTAAAACTTAATAAAGCGCCAATAATTTTTGCACCAGTGCCTTGGTTTGTCGTACTACTCCTAGCTACTTTAAGTGTCATTGGCGGTGCTTCTGTCTGTCCGCTGTCTGCTTAGAGCTACTTGGAAATTCAAAGGTTATTACATAAAATTTTAGCCTGCCATTCGGCTGATTGTCTGTCGAGACTCCGGCCGACATTTACACGCTGGCTGCTCAAAAAGCAGGCGAGTTTATCTTAATCTATTGGCACCCCAATAATAATACGCTTAACGTTCGACTTATCGACATCTCTTCATCTCTGCTGTGCAACGGGGCGTATGGGTATCCTACTTTTCCACTTCGCTTTGGGCTGAGCCCTTCGGAGCGTTTAATCAGCAATCTAAGCTTTATTAGCAGTGCAGGCAGCTGCCAACTGGCGCCGGAGCAGGACCCGTAACTTTAGCTGCTGCAGCACTCTGCTAAGCGGTCTGCTGATCGGATTTTCCCGGCTCAGTGGCTCAAAGTTGCCCGAGAGTTGGTGGCTCTGCGGGGCCTGTGGTTTACGCTGCACAAATCCGGCAGCAAGAACAACAGCAGGACACAGAAACAATTTTTAAGCAATTAATACGTTTGGCAACATTTTTGTTTACTTTGACCGATAAGCCCCGAACTGCTGACAGAATGGATGCAATTTGTAAATATAAATCAAAGGCAGCAGCGCTCAGCACCGCACAGCACACAAGGGTTAAGTTCCGGGCAAGCAAGCGGATTAACTCCCTGCTGCCCGGCATTCTCCGTGCGGTTGCGTTTGTTTGGCAGAAGTTTATATTTGGGCATTTAAACTCAAATTAAATGCATTTGCATGCAAACAAAGGGGAAGCCTGTGTGTGTGGCCGCAAACAAACTGTTTTGTGTCACCAGAGACAAAAGGGAGAAACAGACTCTTGTTGTTGCACTGCCACACAAGCCCACACTGGCAAAAAACTCACCAGAGATTCGATCGCATGCAATAGAGAGAGGGGAACGCTGGGCGGTATTGTGGCTACAAAATCCATTATGCTGCAATTATGCGCCACACTTTCCAGAATTCTCGTAGAGCTCGACAAAAACTTGCTCAATCGATGTGCTTTGGTAATTAAATCAAGTACATAATGGAGCAAGCCAAATGGAGAAATGCAGCGCAAGTGAAAAGTCAACTGGGAATCCCATAAAATAATAAAACACACATACGGAGCCGGGGGAAGTTGGGAGAGCAATTCAAATAGCAAACCCCATTAACTTTACAAAGTTAGTTAAATTCATTTGGCAAACAGACGACAGACGACGAAAAACCAGCAAGGAGACAAGAGGCAATCCCCTTTTCCATTCGAGAAACCAACCAACGGACCGGCTAACCGAGCCAACGAGCTACGAAAAGTCACAAGTAAATTTTATTTCAATTGTAAGAGCCAGCAAAAACTACTATAAGAGGTGTATATATATATATATATAAACAGACAAAGAGAGCGGGAGGAAAAAACCACACACACGCACAGAGAAAAAATTTGATTTCTTAGTCCTTGGACTCTTTTAAGATCGATTTAAAATAAGGTGCCCAAAAAAATCAGACATAACTCCTTCTTTAACCTTAGAACAAATTATAAAATCAGCCAATTGAACTTAAAATTATTCCACTTCCATTTACGTTAAAGCGCTAAGAGCTCTGGTTTAAAGCCTTTTCGCAGGACAACGTACACTTTTTTCTGTGTGCACGCACACGAAAGAAGAGCAGCAAAAGCAACAATGGGCGACAGCAACAAGCGCAATGATAACTAAATAAATGGACATTTTTAAAGCTATGCACTTCCGCACTCAATCTTTTGTGCTGCGAGTGTGTTAGTGGGTGAATGCCGGAGTGTGTGTGTCGCAGGATGAGCACATGGTAAAGCATGTGTTTCGTGCATGCATTTTAGTTCTCAGCTCAAAGGCACTCGCTCTCTCACCCTTTGGTCCTGGGTCCTGGGCCTCAACAATGGAAACCAGCCACGAGCACACTTAATTCATGTAATTTCACACACACCAACGCACACGAAGACAACGGAGGAGCAACAGGATGCCCCAGTGGTGGTGTTGCCACTGCACCAGTGCTCCTGACTGAGTGCGGTTTTACCTGTTGCCAGTTGCTGCTGCTGTGTTTTTAATATATGTATGCACAAGTGTGCAGGACGTCGAGTCGAGTGTATTCTCATTTTCATTGTTTTACAATTTGTAAGCAGAACTTATGACAGGATAAATGGCAGGCGGACAAGACTGGCTAGCCCAAGAACGGAATCCATTCCCATTTCAAGCTGGCTGATGGATTTGCCACTGCTGCTGCTGGCAAAAAGCTATTAGAAAGCCATTTGTTGCCAGCTTTAGCCGGCTTATTCCATTTGGCAATACAATAAATACTGCCACTTGCACACGGAAAAACTGCATGGCAGCATCTCTCCATCTAAATGGGTTTTATAGCCCGATCGGATTGCTCTAAATTTATTTACTTTTCTCGCAGGGACTATTGGCTTTTGCCTTCTCTGGAATATGATCGCTTTAAGCTAGCAGTGGATTTTTAACATGAGGTCTACTATTTTACTGCTTTTGGTTTGATGGTTCCATTTTATATTTCCCACATGGTAGTTGCATTTAATGTGCAAATTGCCAGACTCTCGTTGCATACTCAAGTTTTTTGTATGGCCCTCCCTGTTTTAAGGCTTTTTCAATATTTAAAACAGTTTGTGCCGCATTTTTGTCAGCTATTGCTTTGTTAACCCACCCCTTCTTCCCTAGCGCCCACAAATACCGGAGTATAAATAATTCATGGCACTTTTGCTGATTGCACGTAAATGGCGTAAATGCCAACCGGAAACGAGGATAAAAGGAGAACATGGAGAACACGGAGAGCAGCTACACGGAGAAAAGGGTAAATTGTTGGTCTCGCTCGATTCGTACAGTGTAAATTCAATGAATAATCAAGTAAACTACTTATAAATTGTTTAAGGAGTGCAAATTTATGTGGTACACGTTGTGACCGGGCAAAGCTAGACAGGACAATAGGTATTCGCTTTTACTTTGGGGGAGAGACAGAGCAGGAGTCAGATAGGGATAGAGACAGAGATCAACTACGAATGGAGATGTGTCCACAGAGGAGTGCATTGCTGCATCTTTCCCACTAGTATTCATCCTCTAGCTTGGCCCGGACAACAAACAAATAAATAGGAAGAACTGGCAATTAATAGAGTAATCGTTTGTGCAGACGTACCAAAGAGGGTAAAGAGAGCATCAGGCGTGACCATCTACAGAGAAAAAGAGAAAATAGAGTTTGTCGTCAGTTAGCGAGAGTTTCGTTTCAGGTGTATTACAAATAATAAATAACAAAGTAAACGTTAAACAGGAAATCAACAAATTAAATCATAGAGTATGATGGATATGGACATAATGTGTGAACGTCAGGCTGGGACGCAAGGAAACAGATAGCGAGGTAGAGGGAAAGGAAAGAGGACTGTTTCTCAGGTCCCAGGCCTGTCAACAGATACACTACACATATGCACGTATAATAGAAAAATACATAACTATAATAATATTAATAGATATTTTTAATGGTTAAAATAAGTGGGGCAACTTATTGAAAAAACGTAGGCGTTTACGGAATGTAAACTAAATTGAATCAGCATAAGAGCTTGTAAAAATGGGTGACATAATGTATTAAAATTGAATACAAATTGTGTATTTTTAGCGTTCTCTTTATAATTGTTGGCTGTTTATATTGTAAAGAATACCATATATTTACTTAAATGGTGCAACCAGGGTCAAATGAGTTTTTCTTTACTTAAAAGATGGAGCATCAAATAGGGGGTCTGGGACTTTACTTTTGGTGGGACCGTATAATCTAAACACAGCACTTACCTCCTCATTTAAATTCGAGACAAGCAGAACATTCGAGTAGCCTCGCATGGCGGGAGCGGCGGTCTGCAGGGCGCCGCTGTTGGCCAGCGAGAAAGCGGCCAAGTTGGGCAGGGCGTTGCTGTAGCCGCCGGTGAGGGGAGTGCCAAGGCCCAAGGCAAAGGGAGGAAGAACTCCCGGAGCGCCCAGGCCGTTGACTGAAAGAAAACGAAACAAAAGTTAGCAATCTGTCAATTCCGAGAGTTTCCGATTAGTTGCATGCCACTTAAGCTCTATACGAATCGATAGCAGGTGTAAAGGTAAAAAGTCTGAAAGGTAAGCAAAGTAGAACTCTTGTATAAGTGTGATTTTCAGTGATCCAAAGAGGATTTCTCAATAGTAGGAAAAAAAAAAAACACCTAAGCCCTTTCAAATTAATTAAGTTTCAATAACAGGACAAGCTGCTTCAAAATAAATTGACAAAAAATTGAACTTGTAATTAAATAAACTTTACAAAATTCTTCAAGTTTAGAAAATTGATTAGAAAATAAAAATCTATTCGGTTTAATATTTTTCCAGCAAAAATCTTTTGAAAAGTTGTCCTCACTGATGGGCATGTGTCCCAATTGATTGGCGTTGGCAACATGAAGCATAGAAAAAACATAAAGGAAAAGACGGGAAAATGTTCCGCTCGTGTTACCTATTTTATCACCTGTGAGAGAAGGCCGCTGCCGGGCGGCGATCAGTAGCAGATCGTTGGTGTTCATCAGTCCGCCGGCGGTGGGCATTAGGTCCACCCCCGGTTCACCAGGTGGCAGCGCGGGGTTCGTGAAGTCGCGCGACTTGTCGTTGTTGTACTTCACATTCAGCGCCGTCAGCTTGCTGTTGTCGATGCGCAGTGTGCAGCAGCCGTTGTATATGTTCTGCCCGTCAAGGAGCGACTTGGCATGCTGGGCGGAGTTGGCGTCCGGATACTGGATGAGGGCCTGAAAAGCAAAGCAGATTATTATCTGATTATTCTTGAACAAACGTTGAGTGCTCTCACCTGGAATGAATTGTTCTTGGTGAAGGTGACGATCTTCAGCACCTTGCCGTAGCGCTGGAAGATCTGGTGCAGAATGTCCAGCGAGACGGGGTACATCAGCGACTCGACGATCACGCGCAGCACCGTGTTGGGTCCGCCGGCGGAATTCGTGTTGTTGCCGGCCGCGTTCACGGCGCTCGTGTTGTTCTGCAAAATGCCCACGGCACTGCTGTTGCTGTCGCCGGAGCTGTTGGCATTGTTGCTGGTCGCGTTGGAAGCGGCGCAGAGGGGCAGGGGCGATCCTCCCGCCGGGGACTGGATACGGTAGTCGCTCTGGACAACCGAGTTCTGAAAATAGAAAAGGAGACATAATGAGTCACTAAGTCAATTTACTGTTTCTGTTTTAGCTAGTATAAAAGTCGAAGCGGGATGGATAGGCTTTCTATATTAAAGCTTCCATAGGAAGCCAATCGGTTGGGAAGCTTATAACGAATTCAACGAAGTATGACATTAAAACATTTGTCTGCCATATATTTAATAAAAAACAAATAAATTAAAGTGACTAATAACTTGATCGTTTTAAATACAATATGGTTTCAAAATTGAACCTAAAATTACGAATTACTTTTTGAGTGTACGATTATTCAAATCGTTTGCACGGTGGTCGGCCCGTCAAAAACTTGGCGGGATCCTCATCTATACGGGAATCGTCCTCGCCAACATAAATCTCAATCAAAATCAATAATACCAAGTATCGTTATAATAAAAGCAAAAACGGGAGGTCGGGGGAAGGGGCATCTGGCGGTGACGAGGATGCTGGGCGGACGCCAGATACTCTTAGTGAGCAACACAAATTTCTTGCGTGAAATATACACGTTCTATCGGAAATCAATTTAATGTCATTCGGAAGTAAATTTATTCCTATTCGTGCTGAATTTTGATTTCGAAAATCATAACGTAAACACATTCGACCGCCCACCGTTACCGACCCACTTGCCCTCGATTTCCTTTTATTCTGCCCATTTGCGACGCGTTTTTTGTGCGTTTGTCAGCAACAGGAGGGGCCGGGGCAGGAATGGAATGGGAAAACTTCATGGCAATCCTCCCCAGGCGTGCTATTTGTTTCTGCCTTCGCCTAGATAAATTCCTTCCCATTGGAAACAAAGAGCCGGTCGACGTGAGCTTTACCTTCGCCTCTGTGCTAGCAGACAAAGTTTGAAAAAATAATAAAAATTGATTAGAATTGCCGAGTGCCGAGCTGCGTGGCTAGACGGGGCGTATGTGGGATGTGCCGTGTGGCATGAGAGCTCCATGATGATGAGGCTGCTTCATCTTCGATTGCCATGCTGGCTCTAGATGCCTGTGGGATGCCACTAGTGCCTGTCGCGGGGTTTCCTTTCCGCTGCCCGTAATTTGATACTTCACTTTTCTGATTATTATGATGACGATGACGTTGATTGTGTAAAAATTGTAATGTAATTGTTGAGAAGCGGTTGCCCATTTATTACTCATATTATCCTGCTATCTTTGTTGGGCTTGTTTAAACAGCAGAATTGGTTAATATCCACTAACTAGCTGCCAAGTGGTCATTTGGCAGGCGTTTAAGCACTTTGATAATTGTGCAGAGGTTTGTACAGACAACTCAAGTAACTAAACTTGAGCTTAAACGTGAGCTGGACTTGCAATTTGTGGAATTTATTACTGAGAAAAAGTTTATGTTAATATCTGAGGTCAAGTCGGACAAGAACTAAATTGTAAATTTAGTTAATATCATATACTAACTGGAAACATTAGAATAATATAACTCCAATTCAATTATGTTTGTTTTTTATTTATTGGCCGGCACATGAGTGTGCGAGTATTTAAGGCCAAATATTAATAGGTATTCATGGTTGCAAACTCTAAGCCAAACCAAATGTTGGGAGCACTTGCACGCATATTAGGCTAAGCCATTCTAATTATCCTGTTGGACATAGGGCGAGGGGAAAGGATGGGGAAAGTTTTGGGACCACAAACAGCAACATCATTAAACATAACAAATCGTTGTGTGCGTGCGGCTGTGTTTGTATTGGACTTTGCTTGTCGCGGTTTTGCCTGTTAATGAGTCAATTGTGCGTTCCCCATCCCGATTGTTGTTGTGGGCTGATTAGATATGCAAACACCCACTCCGCTCATCATAGGGAACAACCTCACCACATTGTTATAATTTAATATCGATGGGTCTGCAACTTCTTCCCTCCTGCCCTCTCCCCTGGGATTATATGCCACAATTGATAACACAAAATGCTTTGATAAGCGAAAAGTATTGACAACTTGCTGATAAGCACATTTATCGATCGATGCGTGTCAGTGGGAAAATCTGGACAAAAGACACACGTGTCCCCGCTTCTCGTTCACTTAACGCGGTAAAAGGGAAATAGGGAAACTTTAACCAGCCTTTAGATACTCAAGGGTTCTTGTGAAAACTATAGTAGCCAAGCTAAGATTTCGGGACATCAAGAAAAGTCTTCATATGGTAAAAACAAAAACTACTACGAAAATCTGATACTTCGCAGCTCGCTAAAAGAGTTCCCAAAAACTTTTGCAATATTCAACAAGCCGAAAAGCACTCGGCAATTGTTATATGATTTTGATGCGGTTTTTGCATAAGAAATAAACCCGGAAAATGGCTGACAAAAGGCAAAAGCTCAGGGCTGAAACCGCAGCTCTACAGGCGCCAAAAAATATTGACTCTGCTTTCACTTAAGGTTTTGCATAAATATTTTTGTTTCATAGCGCTTTCGTGTGCTTCTGTTTTTTTCTTGCGGACGGAAGTTTATTTTCATTGCAATGTCACCCAGAGTGCCGTACCTTGGCTTCCCCCCGCTCTTACCCCATTACGCCCCTTCTCCCTGACAGGCACACTTTAAACTGCATGGCGAGTCCTTTCGAGCAGGAGGAGGACTCAAGTGTCGTCGCCCCTTTTCGAGAGCTGGTTGAACCGAGGGCTTAAGTGTTCGGGCCAAGTTAGAAAGTAAAGCATCTACAGCTGCTTGGCCACAGTCTGCGCCGGATCCCCCTCTTTATTGGCCAGGAGGAGCTGACCTTTTCGGCGCTCTGGCAACTGGAAGAGGGAAACTTTTTTGGGCAACTACCACTACAAGTTATGAACTTGTGTAGTTAAGTTTTAAAGCTGAGCTCGGGATTATGTATAACTTTGCTGTGGGTCGGTTATCTGCTGCGTGGTTTTTACGGTCAAGCCAAACAGAAGAAGTTGCATAAAGTCGGGGGAGGAGCAGCGGTTTCAGTGCCAAGAAACCATATTTGTCTTATTTATGCAAAAGGCGCACAAAAATAGCAACCGCGCCGAGTGTGTTAAAAGCCTTTGGCCAAAATATTCCACAAATACGACCATAAAACCGAAAGGCTTAAATAAATACGAGTTACGCAAAGTAGCAAAATCCACTGGCCAAAAAACAAAAGTAAATACGCCTGCGAAAACAAAGGAGGGAAAGGAGAGCGGGAAAAGGCACTTTCGGGCATCCGTAATGCAAAACTAATCAATACAATGAAAATATTGACACAGCCGCTGGAAAAGTCAGTGCATACATGAAGTTGTCAGTTGTCAGCAGTCGGTTTCTAGGGTTTTCTGGGCTGTCGACAGTTCCACCGTTGTTATCCTGCCGCTCTCAGCCCTCTTCTCTATTCGGAACTCACGTACTGCGAGACAATGTAATTTAAATCCATTTTCAACACGTCGCCAATCAAAATGGCAAAAAGCTTTAGCGCGGCACAAGTATAAGCAAACATTCGCATCCGCATAACTCAAAGGATCAGGCAGCAGAAGGCACAGCCACATACGCGATGCTCCTGCTCCTCGTCGCTGTTGTGAAAACAATAAGATTAGCTTACTTTTGCTTTCGACGGCGACGAAGAGCGATGAGCGGGCGGTCGGAAAAGTAAACGTGAAAATAAAATGGGAAAACAGGAAAACAGCTAAGAAAAGCACACGCCAGGCAGCGCATAGAAAAATAAACATTGAGCAGATAGCTGATAGCATTCGGCGGATAGCTCGGCATATGTGAAGATGTTTGCCTGGGCGAAATCCTTTAACTGCACAAGCCTGAGAGTTAGACAAATAGCGTGCCGAAAGAAAAGGCCCATAAGCTGGTTTTCCCGCTTTTCCCACCCCTCCCCCACGGAATTGACAACCTGTCAGCAGGAGGTGCAAATTAAATAACACATTGAGGTCTCTGTCACTGAGCCGGGCTCATATTATTAACACCAAATCAAATGTACGGTGTTATCCCCGATGGCCTGTTATTTATAGACATGCGGGCATCAGCCATCACGAATAAGACTTTGCTAATCAGTTTGATCCTTTCTGTGGCCTAATCGCTTAACATTTGTATTAGTTCTGTGCCAGTCGTCGTCGCTTCCCCTCCAGGTGTCAAACGCGGTGTAAATTAATCCCACTTCGTGTTCCCGCCTAATTTTCATGTGTGTGCCATTAATTGACAATTGCTGTCCGTCACTTGCCTCCTTTTGTGTTTTTCTTGGCCGGTCGCCATTGTTTGGTCTGGCAGGAGGCGTCCGTAAAATGCGGCTCTCTCTGTAGTCGGCAATTTAATTTAATTACAAGGTAACCTTATCACTGGAGGGAAAGCGAGCACCTGCCCACGTACACTCAGACGAGTGCAAGCACATGCAAACAAGCGCTTGGGAAATGCATTTGCATTTGCATCCAGTGCACTTCGCGAAAATATCTTTTCCAAAAAAGATAGCGAGAGTTCTTGCTGAGAAATTCTCATTCAATTAGCTTTTTGCTTTTCAATTCTGATTTAGGAGTCAAGCGTTTCTCTTGTGATCTTCCGATTTACACAAGGAAATTTACAATTTTCAAATTGTTAATCTGAGTTTTTGGCGACTGTATAGCAGTTGTTTGGCTGCTGCAGTTTGGAACCCAACCGATGGGCTGCAGTGGCTCGGCACTTGCTCAGCTCCATTGTCCTGTTCCCGTTGGGATAATTTGGTGTTTCGGCGGCGAGTGCCAATTATGATGATTACCAGAATTGGCGTTCGCAACTGAACGCGCGGCTCCCGCTGAGGTGATTCATGAGGTCGAAGCAATCCTCACTGTGAATGCAACGATTAATCAATTGTGCGCATCTAATGAAGCCCGAATGGCAGCGGAGGAGCGCCGCCAAATGTTACACTGGAGATTAGACCAGGGATTGGCTGCCCTTTGTTGCGAAATTATATTTCAATCTAATTCTTTGTGGGCCGTGGGCTAATTCCGTTTCCCCCGAGTGGCTGTCAACCCTTTTCGGCCGTAAAAGAGGCAAGGCTCAAAAATTAATTTATCAAAATTACCCAAAACAAAACTGGCCCACAGAGCCAACAGATGCGCCCCACAGTCGTATAGTCACACAAACAAAACAATCAGATGTCAAATTTGAAACCCACTAAACAATGCCAGTTGCGGACCTTTGGGGTTGGGTTTTTGGCTGACTGTGAGGCTGGGTTGCTGAGTGGCTGCTGGGTTTCTGTGGGCAGCTCGTTGCGGTCGTAACCGCGTGAACTTGCCAGTGCATTTATCTTCATTTCTGGCATCTTAGTCAAGGGTCGCCGCAGCGTAGGAGCAGACGGAGAAACCCTAAGACACTAGAGTGAGGAAAATAGTCACAGAAAACCAGAGCCAGAAACAGAGCTCCCTGGATGAAGGAGGAGCGAAGCAAAGGTGAAAGGACATCCCAACGACATGACATATTAGAATCCTGTTACGCAGCAGCAACAGCAGCGTTGCCGGTTGACTGCCAAATTGCCAACATAAATGTCGGAAGGGTGGGGAAAGTTGGGTGGTATAGCTGCAAAGTATGCTACAGGATTTTTCATTTCTGTTGCTTGGGTTTCCCTCCTATTTGTTTTATTTTCTATTCCATGCAATCACTCAGCCGTTGAAATCACACATGTGTGCGACTAGATGTCTCCTTTACTGGGATGTGTGTGTGTGCGGGCGGGGGAGATGATTTGGAAATCCTGTATTGCTGATTTGCTGTTGCTGCTGTCGTCGCAGCTTTCGCCTTCAGGTGCGTGTCGCCTCCTTTGCTGGGGTTAAAATCCCTGAGGGCCATGCAATGGATTTGTCTCCCGCTCGGTGGAGATGAAACAGAATTTTCCCTCTCTTCCTTTCGTGCTTAAAGCATAAAACCTTTGCCAACAGGAAATTGACGAAAATTCGAAATTTACGGAAATACCCAACTAACGAGGGAATTAAAAAGGAGTTCTCCTGAAATTGCACAAGTCCCGCACTTGACAGCAAACGTCTCCAGCTTCTGCTCATATGATTTCTTAAGTTTCGCTGCTGCCTGGTCGCCGACAACAATTCCCTAAGCATCTTATCTGAAGCTTGCCACATTGCAGGAGCAACAGCGACAGCAGCAACACAAACAGCAAATGACAGGCGGCGAAATATGACGCAAGACGCAAGACGCAAAAATAAAGGAACAGTCAACAGTGGCTGGGCCAGGGCGTCAAACAATCAACTGAATGATGCACAGGTGGGCCGCCAGACACAGGACACAAAAGGAAGAGCAGGCAAACCCAAGTCAAGACATTCGCACAATGGACATGGGCAGAAGAAAGAAAGCTGAATGAAATGAGAAATTGTATAAATATGTTGGCAGCAGCAGCAGCAGCGCACACAAGATTAAACCTCTTCCACTCGCACAAACACACTCTCCTGCATTTTAAGAGATTTTCCACTACAGAAAGCGGCGGCAGCGTTGACTTTTCCACTCGTCTGACTTGTCTCACGTTGTCTGCGGGCTAACAACAAGGCCTTTTACCAGGATTAGTAGTTAACAAGAGAAATCTGCCCACGCACACAGAGATGGGGATACACACACGACGGTGCCCCACAGCCAAAAGGTAATCAGTGAAATGTAACTATATTGTTTGGTCTAGCTGTGTTGGTGTTGCTGCTGCCATTGTTGCTGCTGTGTCACCTAAGTCATAGGCCCGCCCCTTGTCTGATTCTTGTTTTTAGCCCTCGTCCTCGTGTTGCTGCTGTTGCTGCTACTGCAGCCTCTTAACCTTTTTCGTTGTTGTTCGTGTTGCTTCTGCCGTTTCCGTTGCCGTTGCGATCTCTTTTTAAGTAGTTTGCTTTTGGGCTCAGCTCACCACCACCAAATCCTCCACCATCAGCTGGTGCACAGCCCAGCCAGCAAAGGTGACAACCCCGCTTTGGGTTTTGTCCTGGCCGATTGTTGCTGCTCCTACTGCCGTTGCCGTTGCGGTTGCCCACCCCTCCACTTCCATTTAAGTAATCAAAATATGCTTTTGACTCCGAGCTAAGCAGCTGGCATCCATGCTCCGTGTGCTGGTCTCCTGATTCGTTTGTCTCCTTGGTATGCGTGCGGTTTCATTTGTATTTATGCTCGCCCTCACTCCGCACTACTCACTCGAAATTTCTGTGTGGGCTGTCCGCAAAACCCCAAAAACTATGCGTTTTACTGCTTTTGTCAGACACGTGTGTGTGTGCGGCCATGTGTATTTATTTGAAAGCTTTTTAAACTTTGTCTGTGACTTTGTGGCTTACGAAATTAAAATTAGAAATTGGTTTAGAGCACCCACAAATATAGGCACGCGCTCAAAGGGTGTTCGAGTATGTGTGCATTTATGAAAGGTCCAAATCTCTTGAGGAACGGGTTTAAGTTCCCCAGAAAGTGTAATTAATCAGACGGTTTGCGAGGCCGACCCACATTTGCATATAAATCGCAGTTGCTTCATTTGTTTCCCCTGTCCGAAAACTTAATTGCCACATTAATAACACTTAAGACCGGAAGTTATGCCAACAGCAGATATTGGGGAGTCTTAGGGATTACAGCTAGCAAAGTTTATCTTTCCGATGATTGGATTTTATAACTATAATAGTTATGGCTTATTAAGTCACCCAAGAAATTCATGTCGGGTGACCTATTATTCATATTGGTCACCTATTATGAATAAATTAAGAATTGTTCTGTACTTACGTTGTGACTCTGGTCGGTCTTCAGCTCGCGATGATTGGAGAATTGCACGTAGACCATGCGGCCGCGCATTTGGGGCGGATTGACTGTGTAGCAGGACACCATTGACGTGGCGGAGATCTCGTCGGCCATCTCGATGAACGCCTGGTTCTTGCCCTTGAGCACCAGCACGTTGGTCACGCGTCCGAACGGAATGCCCAGGGCAATCACATCCGACTCGCCGGACTCGTTTGGAATGTTGCGCAAATGGATGACTTTGGAGGCCTTGGCTGCAACGGAAAAAGGGGAGAATAAGCGAACGTTTTTAACCAATTGAAATATTAAACAGGTGACAATCCCTACAGGTCTCTCTCTCTCTCTCTGCCCCCTCCCTAGCAACATTCTGGTCTCTTTTGGAGGCCATCTCCGGCTCACTTAATGGCCAGCGCTGTCTGCACTTCCGCTTCCGCGCTTCACTTAATTTGTTTATTTTTGGGTTTTATTTGTTGGCTGCCTTTGTTGCCAAAGCAGACTGGGAGGGAGCAAATAAAAACGTTGATAACATGGCCAAACTCCGCCACATTTGTATACACTTGCACGGTTAAGCCAGCTGCAGGGGGCAGGGGGAGAGTGGCACCGCCATAAATTCATTCATTGCACACTTTCAACGGCTGTGAATAATCCAGCAGCAACACGGCGACAATGTCCGGCACACAGACAACGTTTGAGGCTTTTAGGCACTCGTCGTCGTTTTTGCAGTTTCCCTGCTTTTGCTTTTGCTGTCGCCTCTCCTCCGCTTACTTGTTTGTTATTTTTGCATAAATAAAGAGCCCCACCCACTTCCACCCCCTCAAAAGCGGTGCTGCAGAAATGGGATTTAGGCTGCCTTTGGCCTGGTAGCGATTGCAGCCACACTTCGGGGTATCCCTGCAACAGCACTGAGCGAATGGTGGTACCGGCTAAGGTTTATCAAAACCTTCAAAACTACTGAATCATCATTTTAATCATTAGTGTTTGCGAATTCCAAATGTAATGATAAATATCCTATAATTTATATTCAAACATTTGTAGCGATCGGATTATATGGAGTATTACAATCTCAACTCTCGAAAACTTTTATCAATTTTCGAATAAACTTTTTCGGTAAGTGCATTGCCCCGAAAGTGCCTTAAATTTTTATAAACAAAGGCAAACAAATTTGCCACTCTTTATGTGAAAATGCAGTTGCAAAGGAATAGGAAGAGTGCGGGAATCTGTCTGGCGCTTAGTCAACACCTGTTAATGTGTTGGTTTGTGCGCTTTTTATTTTCTGTGGCACCTGCAGGAGAACAGTTTGCTGTTCATATGCAAATGAAATGCAGTCGCCTCCTGCCCTCTTCCGATTTTTACACTCTGGTGTTTGCTAAACTAGTCGACACATGGTCAGAGATAGTCCACAGTGAACGTGGTCTGGAGTTCCGGACGCAGTCCGTATGTCTATTTCATTATGCTCAAATTTAATGTAAACTTAACTATAACTATAACAATAAATGAAAAATTAAGGTGAACGAAATATTAAAAGTAAACGCTCAAATTAACTCAAACCATCTGTTATATATTAGACATTAAATGCGTTAATAAAATTAAATAATATTCTGATCTAGAGCATTTGGTGTCTCGACACTTTTGACTGCCCCGATAAGTGAGCTACGAAATTTAAAGATTGAGATAAATTGAGAGTTGGCTCTGAACTTTCTCATATAACTCATAATGTAAAGGGGTCATTATCCGGCCAATTCCCCACATTTAATCACAGCCCAGACGATGGGGGTCAATGTGCCGATTTATTTCACAATGCCAGAAATCCGTGCCGCAGGACCTGAAACGGTCCTTCCCCTAAACCACTTTCTATGAAGCTTTGTGCCTGCAAAAGGGAAAAGTCGAGCAACTCTGAGAGGCTCAAGTTCCGAGGCTCGAAGTGCACTCTGTGAACTCTCCCTGCCCGCCGGTCAATGCTGAATACAACTAATCGGAAATTACACTTTTTGATTAGTTCGAAACGGAAATGAAGCCGAAACGAAATTATGCAGCAGGGCCAGGACCTGTGCGGTCGTTATAGTTGGGCATTCAGCCGACCGAGCGGCAGCTCAAAAATTTATTAAAAATCAATGGGCAACTGCAGGGCGATGAGATCTGCTCCATCACTCTGCCGCCCCACAACTCTCCATAAATAACAGCCAAAATCAAAAAGACTGCGAAAACTGCTGTGAATCGAAACTAAATAAAAAGTAGGGATGGACGAGCGGGCCGGAAATGTTCTGCACGAGACAAACAACAAATCAAGTGCCGTTGGCCAGTTGTGGAAAAAAACGTCGACGGCGAAAATATGTAAAGGCATCTATCATGCATGATGACGTTGTGCCCGAACCAAGGGTAAAAACTGGCGAAATTTGTGGATTTTTGACGTTCCAACGCCAACAACTCAATTTATTTTTATACCCTCGCCGAAAGTATTATAGCTTCAGCCAAAAGTGTGCAACTCAGTGACATCTCCGATACTATAAAGTATATATATATATTGAAATAAACCGGATTGAACGACTATTTAATATAGCTTTTATAGAACCAATCGGAAAAAAAGTAAAAAAAAATTAATAACTTTTGTTGTTTTTCAAGGTATGCGGATATACTCCAAAATACATAAGAAAATCTAAATAGCCTCATTGGTTTTAAGCATACTCGCATAGAAATCGATCTAAATAATACTACGTTTTTGTAATAGCTGCAAAGGTATATAAACTTCGGCTTGCCAAAGTTTGATTCCTTTCAGGTTTCTACTCTTTCTTTTGCCAAATTTGTGCTAAATTGAAGCAAAGGCCGCTGCCTGATGGTGTGAAAACAAGAAATGTCACTGCAATGAGCGAATCGACAAGCGTTTCAGCTGTCGGAGCCTTCGGCTGCTGCACTGGATCAAAGGAGAGCGGAATAATTGAAAGGGAAGATGGTGCCGAGCGCTGACGAGAACCGGAAACACAGCCAGAAGCCCGGCAGCTACAACTTCTATTGGCAAAAAATTGTAGTTTTTATCGAGGTACTCTGGTGTGGGGATCGTGGCCTGCGGGCAGATTGGTTAGCAGTTATAGCATTGCTGCTTTTTAATTAACAGCGAGTTAAATAACCCGAGCCAGCCAATATTTGCGCAGCAAACAATAAATGCAATTGTGGCATTGAAGTCTGCCATAATTAATCATGAGTTTAAAACGGGTGCTGCCGCTCAGACGATTCTTCACCGGCGCACTGATACTCTGGGATAATTACGGTACAATGCTAAATCAACAAGACCCGAAATGCATTAACTGTAGTGGCTGAAAAAAGTGCATCGATAAAATTTGCATTTGATAATGTGATGCTGGCGCAGCCTGTTGACTGTCAATGCCCCACGGATGATATGAATAGCAATCATCCGCTCGGCTGCGCGTTAAAATGAGCTGCAAGGACGTAGGGCCAAAGCTCAGCAGTATTAATGACCCTCACAAACGCACTGTGCAAAAAGCGGGAAACGTGGGAAAAGTGCCCCGGCCAGCCCTTTTCAATTAAACACACACGCACTCACCACTCACAATGAGTTGCACGAAAAATATACATGAACTATTTATAGCTAATTGAAAAGTTTACAAACTGTAATTGAGTTCGGACGACGATGGTTGGGCCGTAATGAATGGTCAGTTTGGCCATCGTGGCGTATGTGTAATAATTTCCCCTACTCCCTCTTCGCCCATGAAGCGCACCAAGTTAATTAATGACAATTTAAATTCATAAAGCAAACAGAAACCCCAAACGAAAAATGTAAATGAAAATGAATGGAAAAAGCGAGTCGAACAAAAGAAAATGGCTTACCCAAGGGGCGGGTGGCCTGGCGTTCAGGATGAAATAAGTGCTGATTGTTAATAACAATTAAATTTATGCTTACATGGCGGCATTTAATGATTTAATGTGAGCGTGACGCCCGTGTTTGTCCCCGAGTTCCGCCCCCAAACTTTGCCAGGGGTGTGTCGTCAGTCGAATATATAATTTGAATAAATACTCGCTCAACTCACGCACACAGATCCGTTCGAGCGCCTTTAATTATGCGTCAGTAAATTAGATTTTTACAAGCTCACACATCATAAATTTTAAATTGTTAGGCAAACTTGTGTCCTTTACGTGTCTGTCGCTCTGCCCCCTCGTTGTGTGCACAACGACTTAATGATATTTGCTCAGCCAGCCGGGCCTTGTCTTAAATTTAAACATTTGCCGCGCATAATCAATCATGGCACGATGTTTTGGCAGCAAATGAAACTCAATGCCAGTGGCCCGTTGCCTTTTGCATTTCAGCAGAATCCGCCCGACTCGAGACTGGGCCATAATTGAAAAAAATGATTTTCTTTTCGCAGCCCGAGCCTAACACCCGCAAGAAATGTAATTCAATTAAAATTTGTCAGGAAAGAGGAGGGGAAGTGGCTAGTGCTTCTGCCGAGTGAATGCAAATGCAGCCGGGCTTAGGCAGCCCGAGCGATGGCGAAGATGACGTTTTGAAATTTTAATTGCATTTCAATTACGAAAATAGTTCTTTTCGCCATCTGTCCATCCTTGTCGCTCACACATCTATCTCGCTCTGGCCTGAGTTCAAAAGTGGAACTACATTGGCATTTAGCTGGCTGCAGGATGCAGTCTAGTGAGCGGAGGACTCCCAGACTGTGTGCATTTAAGTGGCATTCAGTCAAACAGCCGACAGCCAAAGGCAGACTGAAACTGCACTAAAAAAATTTATTTTAAATCAAAGCATACAAATATCTAAGGATTGTGATCGGACAGACCCATTTTTTTTTTACCAAGACTAGCTTAAAGACTATTAAAATACGAAAAAAAAAACTAAAACAATGGTGTATTGCAAAGGCTATTTTGTAATAAATAGCAAACTTTTTCTCTTCAGTGAATGACTTCATCTTTGATGAAGCTGGTTTAAATTCCGTAAAGCATATCAATTGTTTAAGTTATGAGTAAACAGAGTAACGGGAGAAGCTTCGGTTTGTTGGCCCTGGCAAAACTTTTTCCACTTCATTTGTGCATTAAAACTACGTACACAGCAGCAGGAACCTGGGCACACAACGGGGCGTATGCTTAATTAAATGGCACACACAAATATCTCGCAGTTTCCCACAGTCACTCACACAGAACCAGAAAAGTCAGAAGTCAGGCCGAGTCCTGCCTGAAAGTCCGCCGCCACTAACCGCACTCACGTACAGTGCCTGTCATAAATTGCTGCACACAACGCAAGCCAGCCAGCGAGTCAAACTGGTTGACAATTGCTATTTGCTTTTGGTCTGGCCGGATTTTTACACTCCTTTCAATGCTGTCTCAATATTGATACAGATGGCAGAGGAAACAGAAAAAATTATGACAATATTATTTTATTGACTGCGAAAATATTTACACGCAACGCGTAGACCAGGAAACAGAGTCCTGGACGTGCGGACGAGCCAAGGCGGCACGCGCGGGATGCCAGGACACGAAGGACTCGAAGGACACGGACACTTGCCGTCTGCCAAACTGTCGCCTTATTGGTTATGGCCATAAAAGCGTTTAAGTGTTTGACCAGACCACCAAAGGGATTGGTCATCGACTCGCAGCGCTGACAGCAGCACACTTGAGCTTTAAATTGATGGCAGTGACGGGCTGATTTAAGGCTTAAGGGATGACCGCTCATGCATAATGAAACAAAGCACTGGATATACAAATTTTAGATATTTTTTCAGCATATTTTCCCTGCTGCCGCTGGCTGTCTGGATAGGGAATTAGCAATGCTAAGAGCGGGAGAAAAAAACACAGTGCACACGCAGCGGCAACAGCTGCGGAACTCTTTTTTTCGGCCGTAGCTCATAGCTACCATAGGTGGTGAGCTGACCATTAAGCCCCCAAAATCGGTCAATAAACAAACAAATGTTGGTGGACTATACAAACAGCGTGTAGGCGATGCATGTGTGAGAGCTGTAACAATAAACAACAAACTGAAACGGCGGGGAATGGGCGAGTGTGGCGACAACAAAAGAAAAACACGGTCTGGCCACGCTTGATGTTTCGGCCGGACACGCGACATGGCCACGCCATGGTCTACACACAAAAAAATGGATCAAAAGCTGGCCAAAGTTTTGCATATCAAAAGCAGGGTAAGTCGGTTGATTGTGGAACTTGTCTAAATAATAATAATGTAGAATATCTAAGCACTGTTTTTTTGCAAAAATATATATTATTTTTAAAATATTCTTTTTTAACTCAAAAATATTCAACTCTTAGCCATTAGTAAAATAATGTTTTATTTGCCATTCTCTATTTTAGAAAAGTGTTTACTTTAAAAGTAACTTTCTTGATTTATTATTTTCTCTGTTGTTCTAGGAATCAACTGTTAGTGCTCGACTCCCTGGGGTCCAGTATACATGGCATAAAATATTCTTAATAATAAAAAATCGAATAAATCAAGCGAAACTATTTATTAGCCGGCCGAAATTCGGACCGAAAGGGACCGAACTTCTAAGTCTGAGTTTTGCAGGTAGGCCACTGCCTTCGAGTGTGTGTGCTTCCTTCGACCACCACACGCACTCACCCACCAACATATTGAAATAAGGGGCGCTCTCTTCAAGAGTGTGAACGTGGATCCGCCCCTCCCTACTCGTCGCCAGAAGTCCAGCTCTCCACCCCCATGCGCTGCACATGCCAAAGTGTTTTTATTACATTTACGTGAAAAATTTGTTGCAAGTCCTGCTAAGCTCGTGAAACGGAAACAAGAGCGTGAGTGTGTGCGGGTGCGAGTGCCGCCATCGATGTATTGGTTTAGTGGCGCACGGATACGATTGAGCCGAGTGCTTGTGTTTATCTAAGGCTCTACCACAGGGGTACACAATGCTCATTGTTGCTTTTTGGATTTTTGGCATTTACTTGTCTGGCTTTGTTGTGCCCTCCGTCCCTTCTGGACCCTCCAACATGAACCGATGCTTGCAGTGCAATAAAAGTGTCCTTACACATTTATTTAGCAATTCCTTTTGTCATTATTTTTTGGCATCATCGGCATGGCCTCTGCCTTTGTGTGCGTAGAGAGGGCTTTAAGTGGCGACCACAGAAATGAATTCATTGGATTCCTGGCAGCGTCCTCGTGTCACCGAATATCCTGCTCCCTTAAAGCCAGCCTTTAATGGAGCAGGACAAAAAGCTGCCCTGTGTGTGCGTGTGTTTGCACAAGAACTTTGCGTGGAAAATTAAAATGGCCGCAGGTCACAGGTGTCAAAAAGGGGGAGGTGAGGTGGTAGCCATCGAACAATGGCAGCAGGCAGAAGGGTGAAAGGCAAAAGCAAACCGCTAACTGCCTTTCCCTCTGTGCGTGTGTATGGGTGTCTGCTTGTTGCTTTTTAATTAATAGAAAAGTCCTTTGTAAAGTAATAAATAAATATTATGCTTCCGCTTTTGCGTACATTTTTTCGCTCTCAGTTGATTGCCATTCACAGGCTCCTGATCCTTCCGCCACCCCCATTTTCGTCCTTCGCCCACCCATCTCCTGCCGCGACGTTTGACTGTCTGGCGGCTAATGCTCAAGCCCTTTCTTTGTGGAACACACCCACTCATCATCGATGTGGCTGGCGGCGGCGAATGCTGTTAATTACGGCGAAATTGCAAAAGCATTTTGAACAAGAAAGAAAAGCTAACTTCGGGCGGAGCCGAAGTTGATATACCCTTGCAGAATATTGTGTAAATTATATTCTCCAAAATTATTCATATGATGCAATCTTAATACTTATAAAAAATCCCAACTTCCTAACTTTAAAAACACCAAAGTTATGGCATTTCCAATCGTTCAGTTATATGGCAGCTATAGGATATAGTCGGCCGATCCTTATGAAATTTAATAGGTTGGATTGATTGGTTAAAAATAGAACCCATAGAAAATCCCAACTTCCTAACTTAACAAAAACCAAAGTTGTGGCATTTCCAATCGTTCAGTTATATGGCAGCTATAGGATATAGTCGGCCGATCCTTATGAAATTTAATAGGTTGGATTGATTGGTTAAAAATAGAACCCATAGAAAATCCCAACTTCCTAACTTAACAAAAACCAAAGTTGTGGCATTTCTGATCAATCAGTTATATGGTGGCTATAGGATATAGTCGGCCGATCCTTATGAAATTTGGTAGGTCGGATTGATAGGCCAAATATAAAACCCATATAAAATCCCAACTTCCTAACTTCACAAACACCAAAGTTATGGCATTTCCGATCAATCAGTTATATGGCAGCTATAGGATATAGTCGGCCGATCCTTATGAAACTTGGTAGGTCGGATTGGGTGGCCAAATATAAAACCCATATAAAATTCCAGCTTCCTAACTTAACAAACAGCAGAGTTATGGCATTTCCGATCAATCAGTTATATGGCAGCTATAGGATATAGTCGGCCGATCCCGGCCGTTCCGACTTATATACTGCGTGCAAAGGAAAGAAGGGTGTGTGCAAAGTTTCAATTCGATATCTTTAAAACTGAGAGACTAGTTCGCGTAGAAACAGACAGACGGACAGACAGACGGACAGACGGACAGACGGACAGACGGACAGACGGACAGACGGACAGACGGACAGACGGACATGGCTATATCAACTCAGGAGGTGATCCTGATCAAGAATAGATATACTTTATAGGGTCGGAGATGTCTCCTTCACTGCGTTGCACACTTTTGACCAAAATTATAATACCCTCTGCAAGGGTATAAAAATCCCACGAACGCCAGCACCTGCATATGGCGTTAATTAAATTCGCCCAAACAAAAGCATCACAATCCACTGTTGGAACAGTCGATTACTTTTGAATTTCAGCGGAAATTGTTGCCTATTGATTTGTTTGCATTGGCAATCATTTTGTGGCTCACTGGATTTTTGTGGGCAGGTATTCGGCTTTCGGCTTTCAGATCCAGTTTCAGCTTTCTGGCGGGGAGCCTGCGAACATGTCAAATATTTGCCTAATGTGTGGTTCATTCTGCTGGTTTCGGTTCAGTTGGGTTTTGTCGGGCTGGTGTGCGGTTTTTGATTAGCTTTATTACTTTGCGGAGTCATATGCAGGGTGGTTTTCGTGTGTGTGGGCTTGGGCGGCTAATTAATGTGTCGACACAGTGCGTGGCCAGTCAGCGGCCGCCGCTTATAATGCAAACGAACGCGAACCATTTTTCCCGTAATAATTTCCAGACAGCTCAAAAGGGCCAGGCCAAATTTTTTTCTGTTGACTTGTTTTCCTTGCTAATTAGTAGGTTAATTGGCTATAGGCATCAAAGCGCGCTTGCGTTCAATTGAGGTACTCAAGTGCCCCGGTGACTTTGTGGCCAATCTGGAGGTTTAAGCCTAATGCTGCACTGTGAGAAAGTAAGAGCTGAGTTAAGAATAAAAAAAAAGGAGCTCTGAGGTTATGGCGATTATGTTTTTGTTTAACTTTTCACCGAAAGTCTGATTAGTTTGTTTAAATTTTGGACCATTAATAATTGTATTGTTCGCTTAAAGTCCATAGTAGTTGGTCTGCAAATAACATATTATGAAGCACACGTTTAAACAAATGAAGAACTTTTTCTCCCCGTGTTGAACACTGTCCCGGTGGGCGTGGTTAATTGGCAGACAAACGCAACTGGGCCCAAGACTATGGCAGCAAAATGCACTTAACTTGAGCGCCGCTCAGGGGCGGCAGAGGCAAAGGCAGGGCTTAAGCCAAGACAAAAGACAAAATACAAAGCACGGGTAAATGCAAAGGTAAAGGTGGAGGCGAAAAGCGAGAGAGAGAGACAGACGGGCAGGACAAACAGAGACAGATGAAAGAGGGGGAACAGAAAACTTACCAATTCCGCCGGCCAGCACGGTTCCCGGCTCCAGCTTGGCCTTCTTTGTGGCCAGGTCCTGATTGTTATTGTCGGAGGCGGGCGCCATGACTGCTGCTTGACTCAAAAGTTCGTCGCTTCCGCGCTGATTTACAGTTACACAGTTACAGGCACAGGTGCGGATGCGGGAGCAGTTTCAGATTCAGATGCAGATGCAGGAGCAGGAGCAGGTAGGCACAGGCAGTTGGTTAATACATTTTTGTAGTTTGTAGTTGATGCACAGGCGGCAGGGCAGGCACAGACAGAAGTTGAAGATGGTTTATTTTCAGTAGTAGTGGTGTGTAGTTGTAGTAGATGAAGGTTATATATACGTATACGAGTACGGTACATAAAAAGAGAAAATAAAAGAGAGAGAGAACAATATAAATATTTGATATTTACGCAGGATAAATAAATTACAGCGATTCTTCAAGCCCACTTTCGCCCACTTTGCGAACCATTTGCACAGCTCTCGGATTTTGTTTAGGTTCGGTTCTCCAGTTTGGTTAAAGTCAACAAAGGAAGTGGGTAAGTGAAAATTATTGTGGCAAGCGGACTGCAGTTAATCATTATCCAGTGTTAGCTTAGCTATTTACTGACCAGAGCGACCAGTTCCCAAAGCCACAGCTTCATCGAAACTAAATGCACTTGTTCCCATTTGGTTACCCCAAAAAAACGGTAGTTTAAATAATTGCAGAGCTCGGGGGGGAATATTCATTTGAATTAGCCAGCTAAGCAGCTTGCGCATTGTGGCTCCTGTTTCTACTTTCCGTTTGTTTTTTTCCTGCTTTATTGCAGCGCTAAACTCTAATTACAAAGCACATGAGTGTATTGTAATTACATGTGACACTTAATTACCGCACTCACAAAAAGTCGAAGGCAAAACCAGAAGCGGAAGTTGAAGCACAAGCAGCATACATAAAAACGAACATGCACTAGGGAAAATGTTTCAGTCTTTTAAAGCTGGGAGCGATCAAAATGTGGATTCCTAATGAAACAAGCAGACTTGCAAAAACATTGCAGGTAAATTATCAATTACAGTCACATTGTTATGAAATTATTGTAGACAAAAATCGGTAAATATAGCCTATCTCTTTAAGAAACCTTGAGCCAAAATGTTCTCTTCCAATGGTTGCAGTATGAACATTCTATGAATAACGTTAACTGTTATAGCACTCTTTTCCGTTTAGCTGGCTTATTTTCTTGCAGTGTGCGAATCAGAATCGGAAGCAGGGCTGGAGTCGGAATCCCAGAGAGCATCGAGAGTAACCGAGTTAAGCCAAACATTAAATGTAATGCGCCCCATAAAAATAAAGCTGCTACAGCTTCAGCTACTGTTGATGCTGACTGTATTGTGCCAAGCAGGATGCGTGTGTGGGTGGATGAGAGTGTGTTTGTTCAGTTTCTGCTGCTATGCATTAGCGGCAATGACAAAAAGTCAATAAACGGGAGCTGGTGAAGGGAACTGATGGGGGAACACTCCGCACACCACACACCGCACAAATTGAAAAGGGTAATTTTGTGTGAAGTAGGCACCTTTATGCCCCCCGCATTCCCATTCCCATTTCATCATCAGCTATCAATGCTGACTACGCTTGAATTCGCCACTTGGCTTATCATGCTGCGCGCTTCTGCTTTGCTTTGGGCTTATTTGCTTTTTGCCTGCTGGCTTCTGCTTTTGTTGTGCCTTATTTGTTATTTGCTATTTGTTGCTGGGGTTTTTATTTTTATGTGGCTGCACGTTTTATATACACCCATCGCCGCACACATAAAGGAATTAGCTTAAATACAAAAACAACATGTGGTAATAGGAATAATAAGAAAAGCCAAAACGAACACACTCACACACGTGTGGGTGTGGGAAGAGGAGTGAGATTTTGTTTGGTGTGCAATAGACAAAGACAGCGGCTAAAACCGCAAAAGCACTTCACTTGATAATATCTCACACAAAAAACGACGGGAAAAAATGAAACGGAAGCTCACCGTATGTCTGTGTGCGTGCTGAGTAATGATATCAGCAGAAGCTGCTCACTGCTGTTGTTGTTCTGCATTGTGTTGAACATATGTTTCGTTGGGCACTTTTTCGATGCCCAAAAAAGCAGTAGCATTCTTTTTTGGGCTTCTTTTCTGCGTTCTTTATTTGGATAATACATATAGGTCTTCTTTTCGGGGGTGTCTTTCTGGCCCGTTGTAGTGGGTAATTAAATTTTAAATGACCTCCCGCTCACCCCCGCTCAGCCCCATCACAGCCACCCAAAAGGGTTGCCAACTAACTGCGCTTACTTAGTACGAGTCTCTAATGCATTCGTTATGGCACATTAACGCTCCCCAAGTGCCGGCTGCCTGGCATGCTACAGGGATTTGCCGGCCCTCCACGGGATATATCCTTGCCAGTGTGTGTGTGCTAGTGTGCATTACACGGTTCAGAAAGTCGGGCTAATGCCCTTCGCTGCCGCTTGGGTTCGGACTGTGCGACGATTTCCTTTTTGCCAAGCTGACCGGAAATGTTATTTTAATATGCTTTCTAAAAAGTATGCTAAATATTTGATTAGCCACTGTATGTGTGCACCCTTTCCTCTTCGTGTGTGTGTGTGTGTCTGTGTGTGTGAGGCACATATGGCCAGGACGATAAGCTGCTGTCCACTTTCCTGGAGGGAGCAGGAGTAGCAGCAGGAACCCAAGTGGACCGTTTCATTGTTGTCTCGCCTCTGTGCCATTTTAATGAATTTTCCCAGCGCCATCATCCCCGCCTCCAGATCCTGCCTTTCCCTCTGCTCTGTTCATAAGCAACGCCCCATTGCTGGAGGGCGTGGGCAGTTTTCTGGGCACTCACTGATTTCTATGATGACATGTGCCTTTTCAGCCCCTCCTTGTCTCTCTTTCAGCGTGTTTCCTTTGCTTCCGCCTTTGTTGCCGGGTAACTGGGTCAGCGCGCAATTGTTGCCTCTGAGGGTTGCTGTCTCCCACAACCCTCACACCACCCACCGCCCAGCGCCCTTGTCGTTGTTGTCCGAGGCAGCAGTGGAAAGATAATCACGCATATGCCTAACGGTTAAGTTTTTGAAGTGCGCCACGCCGACGGACACGGAGAAGGGAGCACGAGACGGAAGCAAAGGGTGTCAGCGTCATCAGAAGCTAGCAGAAACCCAACATTCCCGTTTCCATTATTGTTGCTGTAATGAGCAATTCATGAACTGAAAAAAATCGTTCCAGCTTTCATAGTTTACAACACTACAAAACTTTTGATAAAAAGATTTGTTTGGGAAATCTCTATCTTTGTTATTTTTAATACACAAGCACATAAGTTTTTATGACAAATTTTTAAATTGTCCATTTCACGTAAACTAATATGTATTTGCTCCAGTTAGGCTGCGTGCTGCAGAGGATCTCATGTCGAACAAACCTGAAGGTATTCAACATTTGTAATAGGTAACAGAGTCAATCCTTTTAGTGACAGAGCAATCTTTGATCTTTTTTCCAAGTGTAGTGGCTTCTAGCACTGTCGTTTCCATATTTGTCCATCCCTTGGATAGGCCTTGCTTAGCTCTTTGGGGGTTGTTGTTGTTTAATTTCCACAAGAGGCTCACTTGCGATTTTCTACTCGAAAACGCTTTAAAAGGAAGCAAAGCTGAAAAGCTGAGCACACAGATCATGTGTAATTGAGAGACTGGCAAATGATATGTACACCATGTGATTATCCAGTCAAAAAGGGACTTTGAGTGATACTACAGCCTTGGCGGAAAAAAGGACAGGCTAAGTGAGCTCAGAGTTGCCCGGACACGAGAAATAATAGTGCCCAAATTAGAAGGCAGTCCTCCTTACATAGTGGGCAGTTCTTCATGTATATATCAATGACATGTGATTTGGCCGACCTCCATCATAATTACATTTTCCGCAAAATGGCCTCCAAATGGGTGATTCAGCAGCCAGTCGCCTCAACTTTAATTCATCCACGAACCCAGTTGATAATAACTCTGCACTCAGTTGTGTGGGAGGACAAAAGAGGAGGAGTTGGGGCGGACCATATCAACGCCCTCATATATTGCATGGCCTCTGTGTTTGTTCTCCGCTCTCTTTGTCATGAATTTATGACGACGGCGTATGAATATTAAAATCGAATATGTTGCTGTCGATTAAAGGCTTTTCGTTTTGTCTGACTGTCTGTGGCGCACAGCTGTGGTCGAAAGATCAGCAGTGCCACTACAATTTAATTGTATTAACACAATTTTTAGTAGTGAAATCTTATTAAAGCTTGACTAATATTTGGCTAAGGTAATTTATAAAGCGGCTCCTGAAAGGCTAAACATTAGCTACATTTATTATCAAATAGAAACACACCACAGATTATTAATGCTCCTCGACTTCGGTCATTTTTATTTGGCTAAAAAATAATTTTTAAATGAAACCAACCCTCTTGAAGTTTAGAAATACTCTAGCAATACTATCTATATGACCCCTACTGTTGTAGTGTGTGTTTCGCTCGCGACACAGATACGACTCAATGTTTCCGCTGGTGCATCGAATCGGTTCATTGATGTCGACTATCGACTCCCCCTTTGCTCCATCCGCTGACATCATTGATGACGATGATGATGCTGCTCACGATGATGACGGCATATGGGAATGAAGTGATATAGGGGCGTGGGAATACGAGCCTTGGCGGAAAAACTGCATATGTAGGTAAAAATAACAACAGCGGAAAACTGCAGCCATAACAAAGCGGCAATCTCCGGTTCAACTCCCGCTCAACCCCCTTTTGAAATAACAATTATTGCTGCAGAAGCTGTTCCAGCTGGCGGTTCGGGGGAATTTTCCATTTCGAGGACGCCTTAAAGCCATCTTTAAATTGCAAGCCAGCCATCCAATAAATTCTAATTAGAAGGCCAAATGAGACAACCACTCAACCACCCACCCTCTCAGACTCGACCAAGCGCTATTTGTTAGCTAGTTGTCAGTTGATAAACGCAACATGTAGCTGCGGCCTCATAGACACAGATATGGGACTCAAACCCTACTCAATCCACCAGCCGCCGACTAAACCACCTAACCCACCTGCCTGCTGGCGGCGGAGCAGGCAATAAATTATATGAAAATGCCGCCAAAGTG